TTTGATTTGATTTGAATTTGATTTGATCAAATCAAATTCAAATCAAGAGCTTATTCGATTTGATCAAATTCAAATATACAAATATTCGATTCAATTTGACTTTGAGAAACCCTAATAAATATTGTTATTATTATATAAATTATTAATTTTAATATTGGTAATAAATTTAAGCTCCATTTATATAACTGATTTTGGTAGCAATACTAGATGAGTTCTTAACCAGGTACAATGGATAAAATTTTATATCTAAGTATACTCATCAATTACTTGAATAGCCTATAGATATACTTGCTAGTTAACCAGATAATGTTTTTTTAATTAGATACAATTATTATATAAAGGGATACTTTTTTTTCTTTGCTCAAGAGATTTACTGTATTTCACCTGTGTTTAAAATTTGGTATAGTTTATATATTCTTTTATAGCTATTCTTTAGTGTGATATTCTTTTTCTAAAATAAATCCTATAAGCAAGATTATTATTGTAATATCTGTGTTTAATAAAGTTATACAATATACTATTATTATTCCAAACTATTTGTCTGCTGCTATAAAATATAGTAAATACTTTACTCTACTTCTTGTATATTTCTATTATAGATTTCTTTATAGTGAGTAATTTTGTTACTCTATTATTTTAATTTAGTATTAGTAAACAATATAAATTCTTTAGAAAAAGTATACTAAATTTTTTACTTTTTAGCAAAAAAATTTTTCAAAAATACTAAAATATAGTAAAGGGGTCTTGAAGTTTTGTATCTTTAAATTTTCAAAAGTATTGTAAAAAACTTATTTGTTATTTTTTTTTAAGCCAGTTATTATTAACTTTAATAATGAAAAAACTTATCAAAATTTTGTGTACATAAATACTATACTACTTTTTGCTAGTTATCTTGCATACTAACACTTCTAGTTTGCTTGCCAAATATATTTCTAAAACTAATACTGTAATAGCTTAGCTTAAATTAGGTTATAAATAAAAAATTTAAAAATATATATTATATCAAATAATTTTATACTACATAGATAATATAAAAAATAATTACAGTAATACAGTATATACAGTATAATAATGTTTAAATAAGCTTTATGATTTTTTATTAATATATACAGTATATTAAAAATAAATTAAACCAAAAATAAATAAAAAAACTAATATTTAATTAAATATTAGTTAAATAGCAATCATATTATTTTATATAAATAAATTTTAGTTCAATAATAATTTTAATTTTAATTATACAGTAATTTACTAATTTTTTCTTGACTGTATATTATACGTAATGCAATATATATACAGTATATTTTTTAATATATTAGCAAAATACACGTAACATTACTTTTTTAATAAGTATATTATACGTAATACAGTATATACGGTGTATTTTTTAATATACGTATTAGCTAAATACACGTAATTATTACTTTTTTAAAAAAATATATTATACGTAATCAGTATATAAAGTATATATATATTTTAATATATTAGCAAAAAATAACGTAATTACGTATAACTTTATTAAAATATATTATACGCAATACAGTATATAAGGTACGTATATTTTTTAATACGTATACGTATTAGCAAAATACACGTAATTATTACTTTTTTAAAAAATTTTATTCATATAATAAAAATAATACATATAAAGTTGTACCTAATACAGTATTTTACGGTATAATACGTACGTATATAGTATACTTTACAAATTATTGTTAATTAATAATAACAATACGTACAAAAAAAAAACGAAAAAAAACAATGTTATTTAATACGTACACACAGTACGTATAATTGAAAGTTTTTAATACAGTACGTAAAACAATTAATAACGGTTTATACGATTATTATGAGGCTAACAATTTTTGCCACATGCAATGTAATATACATATTTAGCTTAGATAATAAAAAAATATAAACAGAAAAAATTTATTTATTAATTATATATTATTATAATAACAAATTAGTAAATTATTAAAAAATTTTTTTTAAAAAAATAAATCGAAGCATGAGCAAATATTCTTTTTTTATTATAATATAACAGATAAATGATAAAATGATAATACGTACGTACGTACACAGTATGCAACTTTTTTTAATCCAGATTTAATTCAATAAAAAAGCAAAACAAAAAGTAGATTTGTGTAATAAATAACAGTAAAAAAAATACGTACGTACGTTTTATCATATTTATACAATATTCACATGATTAGATATAGCGTGGGAGAAATATGAGTTGGAGTTCGTCAAACAAAATAACAAGTTTAGATTTCGATCGAATTTATCGAATTTACACAAAGTTGTACATAATCTGAAGTTGGAAAAACCTTTACATCATTATTTTTATTGCTTTACGGCTGTTGTAGTAAGTATGTATGCACGTACGTTAGGTGAATCGACTTTTTCTTTTTAGAACCCTCAATAAAATAGGATTATAGAATTCTTAATCATGTGGTTTGCATGAGAACAAACAGACATTTTTTAGGACAATGTATCTGTACAAGTATGCAATGCGACAAATGGATCATGAGATAAAGAAGAATATGTAAAATTTTAGGGCGTAATTGAAGATCGAATTTTATAACTAGAAACTCGAAAAAAAAACAAAGTATCATACACACAATGAAACACAATGAATTTTTTTCCCTGCAAAAATAAAGTTTCGTGACCAATGATTAATAACTTTGTGAATCCGGAGAGAAAAAAAAAAAATTCAATACTCCCAGATTTTCGTATTTTGCATTCCTGCACAAATTTACAATCACTTACTTGTTTTTGGAAATTAGATTATTTATTAATTTATATGCCAAAGTGAATCTACACAAATAAATGCTATCACAGTCGTTATTCAAAACTGAATGACTGCCATTAAAGATAAGTACATATTGTGTTATATAAAAAAATAATTTATCTAATCTTGGTTATCCATTGTAATAATATGTAATTATGTACTAATAAGTTTAAAAGAAAATTTGTAAAGTATAATGGAAAATTATTTCAGGTACTATATCGACGCCCTAAAGTCATTGTCAATTCTAACAAATTAAATGGATTGCAGATATTACTTTAATACTCCAATCATTATCGTTACTATACGTACCAAATTTGATTTCTTTCTGTAGCAAAAAAAATATTTGTTGCATGATTTAACTGATTGTAACAATCGATATTCAATTACGATTTCTTTAAATAGAAATTTATACATTTTTTTATAGAAAAGAAATGAGAAATTTCATACAAACAAAAGATTTTAACTAAAGAGGTTAATTTAATCCGGAAATATAAAATTATAATATAGTACGTAGTACTGTAGTAATACGACAACTAATACGACAACACGTATAATGTATAAAGTATCATGTATCATGTGATGTAGTTCTTAGTGACTACGTAGAGCTAGCGAGATTATTCAATATTACGTATCTACTTAGTATTAGCTATCTGCTACGTATGATTATTAATACATAATATCGGTTATACGTATCGGTTATTATTAGAACACGTACTGTACGTAGAATTTAACAAATCATTAATTAATTGAATTAATTGGCGCCTAATCTTTGACCTCTCACCCATTTTTCCGTTTTTCTGTGGCGTTTTTATTTATATAAAAATTATAAAAATTAATAAAATTTCTAAAATTTGAAATAATCGCGACGCGATGCGCAACTCGTTCGATTTGTTTTCGTATCGAATTTGACTTTTTTTTTTTATTTTTTATTATTATTATCTTTTTTTTTTTTGGTTTAATTGAAAAAGAAATATATAAAATAAAATAAAAAAAATTTTTTTTTAAGTAAAAGAAAAGAGCGAGAATGGTACATCGTTATTATTATAATTAATTTTTTCAGCCTTCAACAGCCTTATTTGCAAATTGAAAATACGAGATCTTTCTCGCATTTAAAATGCTTAAACTCTACATCGGTACTTTTTTTTTTTCTATCGGTACAAATTTTCTACAATAAATATAACTGACCGGTATAGCACCGATTAAATGTCCAAGATTACTACTAGCCAGATTAATTATGGATAACAATATATGATATGTATATGACCAAAAAAAAAAAAAAAAAAAAAAAAAAGTAATTAACCCTTCCTTGTCATCTACAAGGTTTGCGTTAAAGACGCAAAAATAATTATGTGCAAATGTAAATAGAAAAAGTGTAAAAATTTTTTTAAAATTGTATTTATATAAAAAAGAGTGGATTTTTTTTCTTTCCCCTTTTTTTTTTTTTTTTTTTTTTTTTGTTTTTATAAACAATAACACATTAATAAAAGGAACGAACCGATAAAAGAAGTGCCTTTTTGTAAATACAACTTTCGGATCGCCCCAAAATCTTTTTATGATGTTAATTACAAAGGATCGTCTTAAAAAATGTTCATAATTTTACACACCAATGTAAATACCAGAATTACTTAGTGATTTTTTTTTTTAAAAAAAAAAATAGTTCTAAATCTAGCAAACCTCCCCGGAAGCAGAACTTCGTTGTTCATGCGTGATGATCTCTCTTCTACTACTATTTGTACCACTATCAACATCGATTCGATCACCGCTTTCGCCGACCAACGTGTTATGTGAAGTCGTAGAAAAAACGGTAGTAAGCCTAGGGTCATACCTCCTTGGTATTGGAGATAATATACGAGAAGTATGACCATTTTCTATAGAACTTTCAGAATCATATTCAAAAGCACTAAGTGGGATATCTGCAGGATAAAATTCATCATCAACTAAAGATCTAGGCTCATTCGAAAAATTAGTACTCCTTCTAATACTATGCCATGCTGGAAGACGCCTTGGTACTGGAGGTAAAGAATGATTTGGAATATGAGAAAATGTAGGTGGTGGAACGTGAGTACTTGAAACTCGAATTAGTGTTGGAACATCAATTCCACGTTGAAGGAGGTCATCCCTTGATTGTGTGGAAGATGGAGATGATAATATTCTAGTATTTGATGTTCTACCATGACTTGAAGATGATCTGTGATGTCTAGATGTGGGTCGCATAACGCGATTATCTTGTTGTTGAACGAGTTGACGAAGTAAATTTACACGCCTAAATACACTATCTAATGCGACACCATTATGATTTGGTTGAACAGTCGAATTATTATTATTATTATCATTATTATTAATATTATTATTTTCTCTTTGAACATTTTGAACGTTTTGAACGCTTTGAACGCTTTGAACGTTGTTAGAAGGTATATCAGTTGGACGAGATGGTACATCCTCAAAATTTAGATCAATAAATTCATCCTGAGATTCTTGTTGATCATCGTTTGTAGGAAAAAGATTTTGGGCAGCAGCAGCAAGAGCTGCTTGCTGTTGTTGTTGTGCTTGTTGTGCTTGATGTTGCATTAATTGTTGAGCACGATTAAGACTTAATAAATGAGCGGACTGCATCCCACGCCTAGTAGCTAAATTTGATGAGGCAAGCTGTTGTTCCCTTGTACGGTGTAAATGTTGAAGGTGATGTAGCCTTTGAATATGCTGTTGAACCAAATTATTATAAGATATAGATCTTATTCTATGTGTTCGTGGTTGGTTGTTGCTATGTGGTGGTTGTTGAGAAACGGAATTCCTTGGTTGAAGTAATTCTGGTATCTCTATTATTGGTTGTTGGTCAGTCGGGCTTAGCTCAGACGAACGATAAGAACCGGCACCGTTGACCCCGCCTCCATAAACAGAGTATTCACTATTATATGGAAGCGAAGACGAAGAAACATTTCGATGGAGAAAATATCGACGATTACCAAAAGCACTCGTCCTTGAATTCAAATAAGGTTCTCCAGCTAAATCTGTGTCTTCATATGGTGTATATGGAGGTGACTGTGGTTGTTGTGGTTGCTTTGGTGGGAGTTGTCTCTTTGGTAGAGATGGAGAAACGTACATAGGAAGACCCATATTTATAGTATAATTTAATAAATCCTCGATTAATCGGGGGTTTTTTTTCTTTTTTTTTTTTTTTTATCGTGTTTCTGAGGAAGTTATAGCGATGCAAAAAAAAAAAAAGAAAAAAAAAAAAAAAGAAAAAATTTTTTTGGACTTTTTTTTTTTTTTTTTTCAAATAGATGATTATTTGACTCTTTATATAGTAAAAAAAATTTTTTTTTTAAAAGTACAGTGTGCCCAACAAACTCCTCTGGGAAAAAATAACTGCAGGAAAATTTTTTTTGACGAGTTGATTTATATATGAATAAAAATATAGCATATCATTAGATAAAATTCTAATACTGGTTTTACTTGATTATAAACTTGATTCCAAAAGAGTGGACAAAAGAATTTTTTTTTTTTCAGTTTCGCGCTTGCTTGAGAGGGGGAAGATCACCCCTATTTATTTGTTTGTTGAGAAACAAGAAAAAGGGGGAAAAGAAGTGATTGAACGAAACAAGTGTGGGTCACCGGCAAAAGTATAATAATTATGCTTTTTATTTGTGTGGCAAAATGAATTGCGAAAAAACTAAACTGCGGATATCAATTACCGGTACAATTTGAGAAATATCAATATCAGTCTTATTTTTTATTATTTTTTGTGTTTGCCATGATCTAGGTCAATGATGCTATTGAAAAAATAAGAGTAAATAAGTAACAAGCACTGAAACAAAATTTTTTTTTTTTTTTGTGACCGCCAAAAAAAAAATTTCTTCGGAATTCCGATGCCGATCAACAATATGTAATATATGTAATATGTTGTAACATCATGTGATCAAATCTTGCAAATCGTGTAGATAACTCAGTAACTGATCGAATTATGCATCCAATCACTTAAGATAACGATAGAATCTAAGATGCAAATATAAAAAATATTCGGACGATAAACGACTCGACTCGTTCTTCTTGCGCAACCAATTTCTTTTGTAATACCGTCTTTAAAAAAAAAGTTCAGAATAAAATGACGATTCCGTTTGTTACAGGGCCATTAAACTTTTTGGTAAAGACTGACTTTGTCCTCCAAAAAAATATTTGGTTGGTTTAACTTTACTTCCTTTGTTCAAATAAAGCGTCGTATGGCAACTGAAAATACTGTATATTTTTGGAGTATAAGTGTCGGTTGTCTTGGTAAGAAATATAAAGACCTCGAATATATATATATATATGTTAATTTATTATATGCATAAAAACATTTATCTTAATATTTATTGTCCTTTGTCTCCTTTTATATAAACTAATATTTTTTTCGTGTGATAAAAAAAGGTCCTGTGTTGGTAGTTTCTGTTCCTCCAATCCGTGAGAAATACTTTGGCTACGTTAGACCCGAAGACCCGCCGATTACTTATCCTAGTAAGTAGAATATACTTATAATTTTAGTGATCACACCGACTAGTCAGTTGATTATTTCTTAATTTACTTTTAACTAGTGCCAAAACGACCTCGAAACCCTCCAGCTGGTTATGAGGATCCATGATGATTACAATTATTTCTCTCCATGTTTATTTTAGCTAAAATGCTACACATGGAATGATTCACCATTTAATCTAAAATATTAAAATTATTATAAACTTGGACGAAATCAGAGGCTGCATTCAAAGAAGGTCTGCGTTTAGAAAGAGTAGACTGTATGCTGTTAATAAAACATGCGATTTCTGATATATCTTTCTGGTTTGTTATATCTTAAAAAATTTGTCTCTTTTTAATTAATGTGGTTGTTCGAGTTTAATTATGCCAAAATTTTGGTTTTAATTCTCATAATTATCATAAATAGAATTCATCGAGAAAGTATTTAAATTTCGACACAGCTTAGATCTCAAGGTTTACTTTATTATAATAACAGTATTGTATATACAGTAGTAAGATTTAAAAATTAACTATGTCATATTACTTTTTCAATCTCAACTATGTCGCCGATTTATTGGTTAAATTAATGAGAATATAGCGGATCTGTATAATTGCAGGTTGAATAGCATGTATGTATGTACGTACATACGTGTATACTTACCTATATACCTACAACTATACCATTGTTAATCTCCATAATTCCTAAACAAAGTTAATTGATTAAGTGTTACCGAGGGAAAACCTATAAATACGATTTTAAAATTTTACTGTACTTGACTTAAACTCGATTGTGTTATGGATTACGTAATTGAGGCAGACTACGATCAGTGTTCTAATCTTTGTTAGAATTTTGATTGTATTTTCATTGGTGCATTGAAACAACCAGAACACTGATTGTGATTAAATTACGTAATCGTTCAGAAGTTCTATATCCTTGCCTGCACCCAATAGTCTATAAACCCGGGTCTGGTTAGTTTTTGCAAATTACTGAATTAAGTTTGTTAACTAACGTACGTACGTACGTACGTATGTTTAAGTAACGTAACTTACGTAAGTTACGCTAATATAATGCTACCAAATCTTAAAATTGACCTGCTTTAGTATTCTGTACAGTACGAGAATAAAATCACCACTCAAAAAACGCTTGACAGTTATATACAGTACTACATTTAGTGTTGAAACTGGAATTTGACTATCAGTTAATAATATTCTTTATCGTTATATACTCATCTATATATCAATTAAATGTATTTATAGTAAAATTAACTACGCTATATAAAACCGTTGTAATTTAACATGATAGAAGATTGTGAAAAAGTGATATTCAGTATCTAGTTGGTAACAATGCCCACATACAGAGTTTTAAATAAGTAAATAAGTTGACTTACCAAATTTTATACTGTATGTAAATTTACACAAAAAAATATTTATTCAAATTTTAAATATATATATTTTTTTAGCATTTGATAATTTTTAGTTTAAAGTTTTGGTTTTTAACTTCAAGTACTTTAAAGAAAATCTTTTTTAAAGTTGATCAATTCTATTAAATAAAGGCTTGCAGTTTTAATTAAAGTTGTAAAAGATTTTTTAATTCTAATAGTAGTTGAATTATCAATATTGGTTTAGTAATATTTGAAGTTTTTTTTTTATTTTGTAAATATCAAGTATAAAAACAAATATATAGTATATACTATTATAATTTATTATAATAATAATTTAGTAAAGATTTAAAATTTTTTAACTAATTATCTAAGAATTTATACAATAGAGTAAACATTTACTTGCAGTTAGAGTATATAAGACTTTTGTAGTAAAAAAAGCCCAAACTTCTTTAAAAAATTGTTACAAAATAAATTTTAAAATAGTGTAGAAGTAGTGTAGTACAAGTTTATTATTATATTTTATTTAGTGTTGGGCAAATTAGTGGTCAACCAAAATTTACTAGTCAAATTGGTCTGGTCAAATTGGTCAAATGGTCAAACTGGTTAAATTGGTCAAATCAATTATATAAATATAATATATATATTACAGTCCGGGAATATACTATTGCCGATCGCACCTTATTTAGTAATGATCATCTGTCAGATTGTTCTGAATTTTTTTCCAGATTATTCCACGTACTGTAAAGATTGGCCAATAAAATGCTTATAATTTAGTAATCGTAGAACTGTGATTAAAACCTTCATAAGTACACTTTTTATAAGTACACGCCCTCTCTGAATGCACACCCAAGTTCTGGCCCGAAAATGTATATGCTCCCTTATAAATGCACCTTTTTTTATTAACTAAGTGTATGTTGTTAAAGCCTGGTCCCAAGAACATGAACTTATAGAGATTTTACTGAACTTTGGTTACAGATTTTTGGATCTCAGAGTGAATACAAACTATATTGTTATATAATTCAAAAATGCTATATAATTTTCTTTTTACGAGTGCGCACCTTAACTTTTTTTTTAACTGTCTTGAGAGATTCACTTGAAGCCCGACCATATAAAGTATGCAGTTTAGATCACAAGATTAAAGCAGAAATATTATCCCTTAAGTTGTAGAGTTCGTGTAACAATTTTAGCTTAAAAATAGCATAAATTTAGTTATGATCTATTT